TATTTATTTTTATTTATTTTTATTTATTTTTATTTATTTTTATTTATTTTTATTTATTTTTATTTATTTTTATTTGTTTTTATTTATTTTTATTTATTTTTATTTATTTTTATTTATTTTTATTTATTTTTATTTATTTTTATTTATTTTTATTTATTTTTATTTATTTTTATTTATTTTTATTTATTTTTATTTATTTTTATTTATTTTTATTTATTTTTATTTATTTTTATTTATTTTTATTTATTTTTATTTATTTTTATTTATTTTTATTTATTTTTATTTATTTTTATTTATTTTCATTTATTTTTATTTATTTTTATTTGTTTTTATTTATTTTTATTTATTTTTATTTATTTTTATTTATTTTTATTTATTTTTATTTATTTTTATTTATTTTTATTTATTTTTATTTATTTTTATTTATTTTTATTTATTTTTATTTATTTTTATTTATTTTTATTTATTTTTATTTATTTTTATTTATTTTTATTTATTTTTATTTATTTTTATTTATTTTTATTTATTTTTATTTATTTTTATTTATTTTTATTTATTTTTATTTATTTTTATTTATTTTTATTTATTTTTATTTATTTTTATTTATTTTTATTTATTTTTATTTATTTTTATTTATTTTTATTTATTTTTATTTATTTTTATTTATTTTTATTTATTTTTATTTATTTTTATTTATTTTTATTTATTTTTATTTATTTTAATTTATTTTTATTTATTTTTATTTATTTTTATTTATTTTTATTTATTTTTATTTATTTTTATCTATTTTTATTTATTTTTATTTATTTTTATTTATTTTTATTTATTTATTTTTTATTTTTATTTATTTTTTATTTTTATTTATTTTTTATTTAGTTTTATTTATTTTTATTTACTTTTTTTATTTTTATTTATTTTTATTTATTTTCTTTTACTTTTATCTTTTTATTTATTTTTATTTAATTTTATTTATAAAATTATTTTACTTATTTTTATAATTTTTTTTTAATTTACCTATTTTTATTTATTAATTTTTTATTTTTTATTTTTATTTTCATTTTTATTTTTATTTTTTTTTGTTAATATTTTTATTTAGTTCTTTTTTATTTTATTTTTTTTTTATTTATTTAATGGAACTTCAAGTGGGGACCAAACTGTCGGGATGTCGTTTTTATTAGTTCACTGCTTATATTTTTCATGTCCGTTATAATAAATAATAAAAAAAAACTACAAAATCATTGAATTTTCAGCTCGCTATGATTTTTCCAAGTCATATATATCTCCTCTTAAATGCTAACCACCCTAACTCTGTCAGTTTTAATAATAGCAAAAATTGTCAAATATCATTTTTATGTAAAACTTTATGCTTTATAATTTTTAATAAGAACTTTTTTTATAGCATCTACCGTTTTTAAATAACCTTAAAACATCAATTTATTTTGTTGTTTTTTGACATTTGCCGGTGCCTGAGAAACAAAATTTTTTACATATTGTTTTTAAATGCTCTAAAATGACTTATATCAAAAATTCCTGTATTTCCTTCAAAATTTTGATTGAAAGGTCTATTTGATTGGACTAATTGGGCAACTAAGATTTGTATCCCTGGCGCGTACAGAATCAAATCCACATCAAATCATAATAGCCCAAGAGCCCATTGCAAATTTTTACCGCCATCTGATAATGAAATAAAATATACCCCAAAAGCTTGTAAAAACATTGTACTTTACCGAATGGCACCTGTGCCAATCCCAATCCTGGTTAAAAAAAATATTTTATATTAAAAAAATCACATAAGGCATAACCGCGCTAATTTTGTTTCTAGATAATCTCACATATTCAAATATATCTTGATATATATATCGTTAACGGGAAACATTTTCTTCCTCTTAACATCGCACAAAAACATCTACACACGATTATTAGGTAAAAATCTTTAAAAATATGAATCAATTTTTGCTGATTTAAAAATTTATTTATATGCCTATTAGGCATTCCAACGACCTGTCAAACAATAGGTGCCAGTGGGAAATTCTTGTATATTTAAGGGGGGTAGCGACATAGTCTTGCAACTTGGACACTATTTTTATTCGAAGTGGTACTCACCAAGCCTGCCAATTTATGAAAAAATGTATAGGTTGGTTTTTTAAATATTATTTTTATTTTGTTTGACATAAAATATTTAAATGTAATCCATTATTCATGATTTTACGTAAAGTAGATAGAATACACCATATGTCGCCACCCTTAGATATACCAAACCTGCCCACTGGTAATTCATTTGTTTGGAATGCCTAATTGTTGTGATTCATTTTTACAGGTTGCCATAGAAACGACAAAAAAAACTACTATGATTATGGTTTAAAAGAATTGTCTTACACGAGTTTATAAAATTATTATTGACTATCTCTGCAAAAGGTAGGTAAAAATATTAATAATTCAGCTTTAAAAGCTAGGTTCACAATGAATTAGGATTGTAATATTCAGGGAAAACACAATTATCGCTGTCATGTCTCATGTGATTATTTGAATATAAAATAATTTTTTTTAACCGCTTTGCTCAGGATTAGAGACTGGCACACATGCAATTTGGTAAAGTACAATGTTGTTACATGTCTTTGGAGCATATTTAATTTTGTTATCAGATGGCGGTCGTAATTTGCAGTGGCTCTCTTAGCATAACCAATTAGACATTCCAACGACCTGTCAAACAATTAGGCATTCCAAACAAATGAATTGCCAGTGGGCAGGTTTGGTATAGCTAAGGGTAGCGACATATGGTGTATTCTATCTACTTTACGTAAAATCATGAATAATGGATTACATTTAAATATTTTATATCAAACACAATAAAAATAATATTTAAAAAACCCCTCTATACATTTCTTCATAAATTGGCAGGCTTGGCGAGTACTACTTCGAATAAAAATAGCGTCCAAGTTGCAAGACTATGTCGCTACCCCCTTAAATATACAAGAATTTCCCACTGACACCTATTGTTTGGATGGAATGCCTAATTAGGCATTCCAACGACCTGTCCAAATGGCTACCAGTGGGTAATGACAGTTTAGATATGGCAACCCTGTTGTCATGTTGTCATTAACAGGGTCAATGATACATATATAGTTATATAGATTGCTCAAAGCTGGTCGTTTACGAGCGGCCATATTGCCTGGCAAATATTTATTAATTTGAATCGGTTTAGCAAAAATGTGTTTTAAAACCAATTTTTAGCCTTTAGATATTAAAAAAAAATAACTGCTTACATTTTTACTTCAAGGCATACGCTTATGTTTATTTTGAAAAATATGGATAATCAATCTATGTAACTATCTATTTCATTGACTTGTCAAATCACCAGGTCTACAGGGTTGCCATAATTTTGCAATATCATAACCCGTCAAAGCCCTCCGGTAGACATTCAGTTTGGAATGCCTAATAGGTCAGTGAGAAGGTCTGGTATATCTAAGGGGGTAGAGACATAGTCTTGCATCTTGAACCATTTTTTTATTCGAAATAATAGTCACCAAGCCTGCCAATTTATGAAAAAATGTATCTTATTTTTATTATTATTTTTATTGTGTTTGACATAAAATATTTAAATGTAATCCATTATTCATGATTTTACGTGTTTTAAACAGAATACATCGTATGTCGCAACCATTGGATATATCAAATTTTCCCACTGGCAGTTCATTTGTTTGGAATGCCTAATGCGCTAGTTCAGTGATGATGTAATTATCTCCGAGCAATGCTCGGAGGTAATTATGGTTCCACTGACAATTAAAGTGACAGTAGATTTTTTGAGTGCGTTTTGTTCGTTTTGTTTACCTAAATTATAACGTTTTTTTCACTTTTATAAATATATTCCTAAAGTAAGTAGATAGCATGTATCAAATATCGTTTAGTTACCAATTACATACCTTTAAACTATTTTTTATGACCTGTAAACAATAGGGGCGTTTGATTTGAAACTCGATCGAGCGAGCGTCGAGGAGACCGAGAAGTGATGACGTCACAATAGAGCATTGAATCAAATCAAATAAAACAGAGTAAAAAACATAACCTCGCTTTTTTGTGATTCTTTTTTCTGGTTTGTATGTTAAAATAGTAAGCAAAAAGTAAAGAAAATGGAGAAACTTTTAATAATAAGGGGTAATGGCCCTGAAATGCAGCATTTACCACAAATGCCCGCTTCGCTCTCCTACTCCATGACTGTGATTACTGGTAATTAGATCTGGACAGAAAAAATGTATTTCGCAAACACACATTTTGTGTTTTTTTATGATGAATAATTTTAGCTATAAGACAAAAGCGGCTAAGTAATTTGTTGAGTTCTTGTCTGGTCTTTAATTTTGAGATTCAAATTTGTTTGTAAGTTAATTAAAAAGAGATAGGTAGAGACAAAGACAAATTTCTCCCTCTTCTCGATCTTTCTGCTCTGAGAACATCGAGCTCGCTCTATGTTCTCGCTCCAAAGCGAAACAAACACTTTAGGGATCTCTCGGAGTGTCAATTCAAACACTTTTGAAGCGCTCGGAGATCTCCGATGATCAAATCAAACGCACCAAATATGTTGAAATAAAATAAAAACAGTAAAAACGTATATGTCAAATTTATTGATGTTTTTGTTAAAAGTTTGGTTAGAATTAAACGTCAGTGGAACCAAAATGACATCACACTGAACTAGCGCATACAATATATGACAACGGCCTATATTCAAACAGCAGTCTTCTGCGCATCCTGAATTTGTATCCTTGGAGTAGATGTTATTTTGGAACATCCAAATGGTCCGAGTGAGCTAACTGATTCTTTTAGCTATAAACTGTGATACAGTCTTCAACAGTGAATTATATAGACAAATTTCTCATCTGCGTAGTGCAAAAATTTGTGTAGATAGTTTCGAACAGATTTTGTCAACAGTGGCGGTTTGTTACCCAAATTTTGGGGGTTCACAGTGACATAATATAGATATCAGTACAGATGCATAAAAAAACTCACTTTTTTAGTAAGTTTATAATATAACTTTCTAAAACACTGACATTTTTTTACCTACATCTGTACCGAAATCCATAGTCTGCTACTGTGAACCCCCAAAATATTGGTCACAAGCCGCCCCTGGTTGTCAATATGGTGTGACCAATTTAACCCCGCGTCCAAGGTAATAATGATATGATAATAATAAAAGACGAATATAACAACACACATTAAAAATATAATAAATTTACAATTATTGTAATAAATATTATCTTGATCTACTATAAGTATTCAGGGCCACATAAACCCCGATAAACTTGATTCGCTTTCAATCCGAAACAAGCACTAGCTGGTGGACCGGGTTGGTACACAGGTTCTGAGAGATAGTTTCCTCCTGGTCCATAGTTACAAGCAAAGAAATAGTTAAAGAAAGTGCCTTCTACCCAGAAGGTCATACCGCATCCTATTTCCCTCGTATCCGCCCAAACTACTTGGGTGTAGTGGGCCACCACATTTTCACTAAAACAAAATAAATTAACAGGTAAAACAAAATTAAAATAGAATATTTTAGTAAATTGACACTTTTGTAAAGCTCTACCTCTATATAAGAGATTGTGTACAATTTATCATCGATGAGACATTTAAAACAAAAATAATACATAAAGTTTGGTGAGCTATATTTTTAGTAAATATTAACTTTAGGAAAAAATATAGCAAATTTAATCATTTGTAAACAGTGAATTTTGGCATATAAACTCAAAAATATTAGATAAATAATTCTAAATAATATCGATAGAAGCAATTATGATTACAAAGCCACAAAAAAGTTTGGATATTACAGATAGTCTAAGATCCGAAGTAAGGTTGATCTTCACCCATTTGCTTAACGGATGAAAGTATTTTTTAGATACTCAGGTTGAAATACTGGTCTGCAACCATTCTCCCAGCGTTTAGGTTATAGCGAAGATCGTCCCTTGTTACTTCCATGCAACTGTAAATTGTAAAAGAGGATCCAGTTACAGATAAAACTATTCAGTTTTAGTTCAAGGAGGAACTATTTCCTAAGGATGTGGCAATGTCATGAGAATGCCTGAACCGACTCTGTCTAGAGGCGACCTTGAAGTCTGCCACCCGACTCATGGTCGAAACCGGAATCTTTTAGGTATGCCGCTGACGCATAGGGAAAGCACTTCGCGAACGATTCGAGATTCTTCCAGCAGGATTGGTTCATTCTGGGCCGTAACATTTTTATATAAATAGCCGCGACTTTGTCGACCAGAAGTTAAGTTTCAATTTAAGTGCTGTATAGAGAAGATAAATTATAATAAATAACCAGAAATAATATCACTGAAAGGAACATGCTCATCTATAATACAGATAGCAGACAAGCACTACTCACCCTGAACAGACCACGAATTTATTCAGGGTTAGTACTAGAATGTCACGAAGCTTTGGCCGAAGTATCCATCAACAATTTGGTCACCTTAAGATAATAATAATAATAATATAATAATAATAATAATTAATAATAATAATAATAATAATAATAATAATATTCTCCCTAATTCACCCCCTTACGAGTGAATTTTAACCCCAAAAGCTGAGCTTGTGCGGGGAAAGGGACGGCTATTATTATTATTATTTGCCGTGGCGCTCCGGGGCGACTTAAAGATGATTGATGGTGCCATTTGACTTACAGGTGAGGAAAACTCGGAAAACCTCACCCACCATCATCGAGACGGTAATGTATGGCGATTTTTTATAATCTGCATGTCATATCAACAGAAATTGAATTTCTATTAATACGGCACACATCAAATCCTATACCGAACCATGCAATTTAATTAAAAATCCACATGGTCTGGTCTGGGATTCGAAGCCCAGCAGTCTCTGACACATAAACTTGCTTATAAATGAATATAAGCGCGTTAGACCGCTACACCACCGACCCGATGGATCAAAGGTCACGCCACATTGAAAGGTAACCGTCTTGCCGATTCACTAGCTAAGAAAGCAGCCAACCAAATACTTTTTGGACCTGGCCCTTCTATTGGCCTGACAAAATCGGTAGTGACAGACCTAATTAAAGAACATTCCCTTGTGAAATTTAAGGAAAGATGGGATGAAACAAGAAACTGCAGAGTTGCCAGGGAGCTCTTAAGTTATCCTGACAACACTACAGCAAACAAATACTTGACTATGACTAGACACAGGCATTCTGACTGGTCATTGCCAAGTACGGAAGCATCTCCATATCATGGGGCTGTCAGAATCTCTAATATTGTTAATGATTGATTATAATGATCGATCACATTTTTGAATAATGAAGTTTGTAAATTAATTTCGTTAGTAATGTGTTTTTGATTTTCCTGCAAAAGTTTAATAGCACTATCATAGCGGTCTCTATCATCGGAGTCACTTATTGACTTTTCCAATCCCGTTTATTATACCTCTTTTTGAACGCATATGAGGATATAAATTTTAAAATTTTCTTTTTAAAGAATTTATCAGAAATTCTGTTCTTTCTAGCATATTTTCGCTCAAGCTATTTGTCTAAGAATTACTCTTAAATCTAAGTAATGAATAAATGTGTGCTTTGTATAGATTAACCTAGTGTTGTCTAACTCTATAGGAAGAATAAGATTTTCTAAGGGGGTTACACTTATTTCTTCGGTACTACATTCTATTTTAGACGTTTGAAGGACCAGAGGTACAGCAGGATCATCAGCGATTTCATTGTCCTGGTTACCCTGTAAAACGTTTTCTAAATTAATTTTAGGTTTCCTAATAGAACCCTCGTGATAGGTGCCTTTGTTTGTTTTCAACAAGACCCGTCATCTTCAATTATCTGTCTTTTTGAATTTGGGCAATGTTTTATCAAGTAATTTAGTACGAACATAGGCAATTTCTTGACCTTAATAGTCGGAGGAATCAAAACTATTTTTATTGGCTTTATTAAGAAAATTTTCCTTGACCTTCTCATTGCGTTCCTTAATCATTTTATAATGCTGTTTTCTAGCTTCCTTGTGGTTTTATACATAAAAAGAGAGAATATGGTATTCATCGAGATCAAAAGGATCAGTGTTAATAATATGGCCTTTAGTAACCTCAAACGGGGTGAATTTTGTAGCGGAATGTATCGAATTGTTATAATTTAATATTGAATGCTTAATTAATTGATTGAGCGATAATTCGTTATTTTGTTCTTTTAGACACCTATAATGCTCTATTAAACTAGAGTGGAAACGCTCTACTGGAGAATTTGAGGTGATATTTTGCACCGTTGTGAAATGAAGTTCTATTTTGTGTAATTTGCAAAAATCTTCAAGGTCCATGTTTTTAAATTCGGTATCACAATCTGCGGTTATTTTATAGGGTAGTCCCTGATGGGATATTAAATTTAATAAATTATCTACAATTAATATACCACTGACACTTTCTAGAGGATAGACCTGACCGTATCTCGATAATGAATCGATTATCGTAAGAAAAGGGATATTAGATATTCGAAATACATATCTATAATATGTACATGATCGAAAGGTTTCCTATGCTGTTGGAGTTAAATTGAATTTTACAATAGGCGGATTCCGATCATATTTGTTTTTAAGACATATTTTGCAATTATTTACAAATTATTCCATGTCTTTTGAAATATTTGGCCAATAATAAACTTTAGTTAAAGATTTTTTTAATTCATTGATACCACGATGTCCTTTTTACTTTCCTATCTGTATACAGATATAAGGAAAGTATAGGAATCATAATTTTTTTCGACCTCGAGTTTTCGACGGATTTTTACGTTTTGAGGTCCCCTGAATCCGTTTTGACTATTTTCGCGATGATGTCTGTGTGTGTGTGTGTGTGTGTGTGTTTTATTCCAGCGTCTAATGAGCTGATTAGATTTTGGGCAGAGTCGGAACATCTGGGGGGGTACTTTATAAGTGGTCATTTTTATATTTTATGGAATATATCTGTTATTTACGTTTGGGGAAGAAATTTTTTTAAATAAAAGTTACTTCTTATTTTATTATCAATAATTTTTGTTATTTACAAAATTTTCCTGAAATGGTCCGTATTCGAGAAATTTGACAAAATGTAAAAAAATAATTTTTTTTTATAAAAATTGTTCAAACAAAAGTTGTTTGTAATATAATTCTCTATAATTTTTATCCCATAGATAATTTCTCTAAAATGGACCGTATTCGAGATATTTGAGAAAATGTGTAAATTTCGAAATTTGAAGAAAACTCAAAAACGGATAAAGAAAAAATCAATAAATTTTAAACTTAAGTTTTATTTCGGCCTGACGTGAAATGATTAGATTTTGGACAAAGTCGGAACATCTGGGGGGGTACTTAATGAGAGGCCGTTTTTATATTTTATGGAATATATCTGTTATTTATGTTTGGAGAAGAAAATTGTTCAAATAAAAGTTACTTCTAATATTATTATCTATAATTTTTGTTTTATGTAAAAATTTCTTGAAATGGTCCGTATTCGAGAAATTTGACAAAATGTGCAAAATTCTGATTTTTATGAAAATTGTTGAAATAAAAGTTGTTTGCGATATCGATCTCTATAATATTTGTTCATACATGATTTTTTTTAAATGGACCGTAATGGAAAAATTGTAGGAAAAGTGCTAAATTTAAATTTTTCAGTATTTTCATTTTCAATGAATATCTATAGAAAAATGTTTCGCGGTAGATGTATGTGGACAATGTATATATTTAGTTTATCCTTTAAACATTTATAGAGATGCTGCAATAGGTTGTACACAATAAACGGAAAAAGCCTGTAATAACTAGATAGGAAAGTCATGTGTTGGACACATCAGATTTTTTATAGACATGGTAATACTCTAATTTTTCCCTTTGAGCTTATATTGTTAAGAGGTCGTTTAAAAATTTCGTACAGTGAATAGGTTTAAAGGCAGAGTGTTTGAAGAATTTCTGAAGAACTGTTACAAAAATTTCAGCTAAGTGAGAAATTTTGAAATACAAAGCGTATGTATTTTTGTGGTTTAAAAATTCTCTAGCAAATTTTACAATACTTTCCTCTTTGTGATAAGGTAACAAGTATTCTTATATTTTCAAATATTTTTTCTCTTTTATAGAGAATTTCGTTGTTATCACCACAAAGTTAAAATAATTTGATTTTTATATTGATTAACGGCTCGATCTGTTATAGGAATAGAAAGAATTTGATTTTCAATTAAAGTGTGTACTGTTTCCAAGTCAGTACTGTGTCTTTTTCCTCTATTGGTGGTCTAATTTGAATATTTTGTAAAATTGTTATTTTAGGGGTTTCTTTTATTATTTGATTGATATCGTCCACCGATAAATTTGGTAATTCATTAATATCTTCCAATTCCTTTTGAATTATTAAATCTATATCGTCTAAATTAACACCTAATAATGCTGTTTCTCCAGCGTTTAAATGTGTGTAGGGGTGCCCTTGATAAGGCATCGGCTAAATAATTAAGTTTTCCTTTTTGATATTTAATAAATTAATCAAATTCCTCCAACTTTAAGCGCCAGCGCATAAGGCGAGAGTTTGCCTCTTTAAGGAAGAATAACCACTCTAATGGCTTATGATCAGTGAGAATTTTGAATGTTCGACCAAATAAGTAGGGGCGAAAATATTTACATCCCCAAACTACTGCAAGTAACTCTTTTTCAATTACCGAGTAATTTATTTCGGCCGAATTCAATGTTCTAGAGGCATAGCATAATATAGGATGATTGTCTTGAGTTAAAACTGCTCCGATTGCGTACATCGACGCATCGGTCATTATTTCGAAAGGATTTTCGAAATTTGGCTGTGCTAAAATCGGTTCTGATATTAACAGATTTAAAACAACTAACAAATTCCCTCGTATGTTCGACTTTATTGTCTTTTTTCAACCAAGTTAGAGGTTTTGTTATTTTCGCAAAATTTCTGACAAACTTACGATAGTAGCCAAGGAGACAAAGGAAGGACTTTATTTGTTTTTTGGTTTTAGGAAAATTTTTAATGACATAATCCATTTTTGGATTGGGTTTAATGCCCTGTGGCGTTACCACGTGTCCCAAAAATTCTACTTCCTAACTGAGTTTTATCGATTAAAATATCACCGTTTAAAATATTCACCAGGATTTGTTTTAATATTAGTTCAAAAGGACCAACCGAAATTTGATATTTTATATCATGTGGTTATCTAAATTTTATTGGAATCATAACGCGATCACTAATTAATTGTTTATTATTTAAATCTATATCAAAGTTTATTGCAATAAGGTCATTAATACCTATGACTCCATCGAAAAATTCGTGGAAATCATAAAGAATACAGGTCAACATATGATTATTATTCGGTTTTGTGAAATTTTTGGAATATTCAGAGTCGCTAGGATGCGTATACAGATTCTTAAAATTTTCGTATTCGTTAACATATGCTATAGAGTCTTCTAAAGATGCGGGTTGCTTCAGGTGCATATTGTTTTTCAATGAACATGTGCACCCTGCAATAAAAGTATTTAATGCGGTATTGTCGCAATGATTCATATTACAAATTCTTTCGGTTGCACTAAAATTGTTATCATTACTGATTATTTGTACTAAACTACATCTCAAAAATTGCAATCTAGACCCAAATTCTATCAAATTCTCATTCCTGTACGGTTTGGTCCTAGTTAATTATTGAATAAGACAATCTAAATTGCGTTTATCAGAGAAACATTGCCTCAGTGTATTTTTTAATCAATTCCAATCTGTTAATTCTACCCTATTTCAACCATAAACTCGGCTTTTCCCTGTGTGCAATCAAAAATATTGTAATGTTTGTTTATTTTATAAAACCGTTTATTTGTAAATAATTTATTTATACACTTATTTATTTTATAACACTACTATTCTAATTTATATATATTTCGAAGTCTCTAAATTGTTCACTATTTATCTTCACAGGTGTTTGTATACTAATGACAGTTACGTTGTTCCTCCACCAATATTTATATACAAATTTAAAGTTCTGGTGGATTCCAGAATGCTCCTCCGCCAAAATAGAACTATCTCATTATATCTGGAATATACTAGAAACATTATCACGTTGACTCAGGAATGTACGCGAAAGCGCCTCCGCCATATTCGTCACATATGTTTGGTCTTAGGGGTTTAATTATGTATGGTAATCGGACAAGTTGAGTTTCAAAGGCCAAATAAGACAGAGAGGGACATGGAGGATTAGAGCATGACTGAATAATGAAATGGCTAACATTACAATATGATTATATAATTCCCTGTCATTATTTTTCGCATTGACAAATAAATATATTTAATGTATTAAGATCGCCGTCATAAGGCCTAATATTTTCTATTTTTGACTGGAAAAGGTCCCAGTTAATGGGACGTTTTTCTGGTGTTGGTGTCATCTTTTCAACTGTATTATAAATATTTTTATTTTCGGATGTATTTAAATTGAGATTATCAAAAAGATTCAAAAAATCAGATTCACTCATTGGATTCTAAAGTAAATAACTCTCTGATCATCAACTAAACATGATGTTAACCATGACAGAAAATTACCTCTAAATCCAAAGTTACTCAATTTATTAAGAAAAGTACACCCACGTATTTCTTTTTATCTTAAGAAGTGTGTATAAAATTAAAAAGAGCAAGAGCTGCACTTTTCAATTATTTTACAAATAACCGTTTGGACGTTTATTGGACAGAAATTATCAAAAGAGAGATGCCTTTCACAAGTCATTATCTCTGAGTAAAACGACTATGAAAGACGAACAGACGAACAGACAGAGAGACACCGAGGTGATTCCAAGTATTTTTTATTGCCAATTAATTTGGGTACTAATGAGACAAAGTCTTTGTTTTTGTCTTCAAAATTTTACATGTTTCGTCCAAAGTATATCTTTTCCAAATTTAAATTTGATATATTATGTTTCTGTCACGATAGAAACGAGACGAGACAAGACGAGACGAGAGAACGGCTCTCTCGAGCGAGAGAAGCGTCTTTTTGTCGAGACGAGAGAACAGTTTTCTCTCGCCCTACGAGACGAGACGAGAGAGAGGCCTTACTACCATTTGCTGGGCTTCTTCCACCCCGATGGAAAATTCTGCCCGCTCGAACCACTGGGTATAAGCAACATTCATATTAAACATTGTAATTTATACTTACTAGTGGCCATAGTTATGAACCCAGTTAGCTTCAAAATTGGTAACTTCGTCATACCATGCCAGAATTGTATTATTAATTACAGTTCTATAATTACCGAGTACTCCTTTGTACCAAGTGATCCCTATGTTTTGTCCTACCCAATCGTAACTATCTAAAAAATAAGTATTGATTTAAATTTTTTTTAAGTAAAATAGTAACATTTTTCTACGATTTTATATAAATTAACTCTAACTATGGTACTCTCAGATTTGTGTACATTTGTAAAAAATTGAAACAAAACTTACTAGTTGATCTACAACTGTCATGACCATAAATGCAGTTATTAGTCCAACATTTTGCTATTTGTTCCAATTCCATATTGTAAGTCTAAAAGGAAATTAATTGAAGCAAGTCTTGCTGATCTTCATTTTAAAGAAAATGTTTAAAACATACCAGTGCCTTCATGTTTGTGGCTGAATATTGACTACCAATAACCTCTTTTCCAGTTGCAACTTTATTTCGCAAATAATTATGAAGATCTACGATGTACTGTCTGTCTGCAAAAGTGAACTCGATTGGTTTATAAAAGTTTCCGCATTTAGGTCCTGGCCCACATTTCTAAAAAGAATATATTGATATAGTGGAGCGCCGTAAGATTTATACCTCGGAAATCAGGGCCAGTCAATGAATCTTTATATAAACTTTTGAAATGTGGTATTAACAATGTATAAAAAAATGTTAAAAACATTTTTTTATGCGATCTTAATTTTTTAATTATTTAAATAGTTAATTAATAATTTTTCAGTTTTCTTTTATTTTTATTAGATTAAAGTTATATTTTGAAAAGGAGAACAATTACAAACTTGTCCTTGGGCCTCAAGGAACTTCAGGTATAAAGGTGAGGGGTGGGGGAATTATGGAAGAGAAAAACAGCAGCTGTTAACGCGGTCCCTAACAGATTAGTACACGTTGCTAAATACGTAGCTATTTTTGTGCGTTTTGAAAAATAAATATTTCTAATTTGTATTTATGTATATTTATTATTCTGCAGTTAGTGCGACAAAAGTTTTTATTTATATTGCACGCTTATATAAAACAATGGTGAATTATCAATCGTATATTTTATAATAAATTGATGCTAAAAGTTAGAATATTATAGTAAAATTCAATAATATTAATTATTAATCCCTACTGTCCCTATCCCTACTATCCCTACTAATATTATAAATGCGAAAGTAAGTTTGTTTGTTACGCTTTCACGCAAAAACTACTGAACCGATCATCATGAAATTTTGTACACATATTTTTGGAGGTATTAGAAGTAACATAGGATACTTAAAAAAAAAATAATATTTTTTTACGAAAGATAAAAAAATTGTTTGTCAAGAAATTTAAAAATCTAGCTACTTCGACGCCATCTAGCATTCCAGTAATGAAGTTTCAACCCTGAGTACTGTAATAAGTGTAATATCGACGCATTGTATTACCGACGGACACGTCAATATCCAATCCAATTAGGCATTCCAACGACCTGTCCAAATGGCTACCAGTGGGGACTGACAGTTTAGATATGGCAACCCTGTTGTTATGTTGTCATTAACAGGGTCAATGATACATATATAGTTATATAGATTGCTCACAGCTAGTCGTTTGCGAGCGGCCATATTGCCTGGCAAATATTTATTAATTTGAATCGGTTTAGCAAAAATGTGTTTTAAAACCAATTTTCAGCCTTTAGATATTTAAAAAATAATAATTGCTTACATTTTTAGTTCAAGACATAAGCTTATGTTAATTTTAAAAAATATGGATGATCAATCTATGTAACTATCTATTTCATTGACCTTGTCAAATCACCAGACCTACAGGGTTGCCATAATTTTGCCATATCATAACCTGTCAAAACCAACTGGTAGCCATTCAATTTGGAATGCCTAATAGTTTCAATGAACTGGAGTGGGGTAGAAAGCCAATGTGCATATTGTATCAATAGACAAGATGCGACTCTATGGGCGCAGCCATTTTTATTTGTCATCTCACTCGGGAGTATTTATAATAACCATTTTGTTTCACATTGTTATTGTTCAATCCACAAGCTGGTGGATCAAACAATAACAAAGTGAAATAGAAAATGGTTGTTATAAATACTCCCGAGTGAGATGAAAAATAACCTGTCTTCGCCCATAGAGTCGCATCTCAACACATACTTTGATTTTCTGTTACTATACGAAGAATGGTCGCACTGCGCAGCTTTCTGAGTGCCTTTTAAAAGGAGATAGAAAACTCCGCCATTTTGAACCCTTATTACGTGTTGCCTACATCTTGGCGCAATATTTTTAATAGGTGCGTTTTAATCATCCGCTTCTGCTTCGAATAATGTTAGAAGTAACTTTTATTTGAACAATTTTTTTTCTCCAAACATAAATAACAGATATATTCCATAAAATATAAATACGGCCTCCCATAAAGGAGGCCGACTTTGTCCAAAATAATTTCATTGTCCATAATCATTTCACGTCAGGCCAAAATAAAACGCACGCACGCACGCACGCACGCACGCAGGCACGCACGCACGCACGCACGCACGCACGCACGCACGCACGCACGCACGCACGCACGCACGCACGCACGCACGCACGCACGCACCCACCCACCCACACACACACACACACACACACACACACTCTCACACACTCACACTCACACACTCGCACTTGCACTCGCACTCGCACTCGCACTCGCACTCGCACTCGCATTCGCACTCGCACTCGCACTCGCACTCGCACTCGCACTCGCACTCGCACTCGCACTCGCACTCGCACTCTCACTCCCACTCGCACTCGCACTCGCACTCGCACTCGCACTCGCACTCGCACTCGCACTCGCACTCGCACTCGCACTCGCACTCGCACTCGCACTCGCACTCGCACTCGCACTCGTGAATATTGTCGCAATATTCATAAAAGAATTGTAGACGTGTTAGATTTAGTGGCTCAATCAGCTAAATATCACGCGGATTGTTACGTAAATTTAAGAACTACCATAAAACAGACCCAGAGGGAGAAAAAATTCATCCAGTAACAATCCAAGTAGACGCAGCAATGGAGATTTTTAAATACATTGAAGAAAACGATGACTGCCAGTTTTCACTTACAGAATCAATAAGTATTTTAACAATTAATCATATTCCTGATGATAAAACAATAAAAATAATAAGAGTAATAAGAGTAGGCTCATAGATATGCTACTAGAAACACTTGCGGAAAATGAAATATTTTCTTGTCAAGCAGAAGCTGATGCCAACAGATTAATAATTGAAATCGCTATTAATCTGCAGTCCGAAAATATTGTTGTAGTGTCCGAAGATGTAGATGTTTTAGTTTTATTGACTGCACTCTCACCATCAGACCGATAAATTTATTTTCGAAAACTATCCAAAGGCAAAATACCGCAAAAAGTGTACTCTTCTAAGACCTTAGAAAAAGTATTACTAAAGTATAAACAGCATATTCTATTCTTACATGAATTCACTGACTGTGACACAGCGTGGCAAAAACGTGTTTGCAAAATGCTGCCACAGTTTTTAAAAATAAATGCAAAGATATTAATGACATTTATAATGCTGGTGTTACATGCACGCTTGCTTTATACGTTGCCCCTCAAAAAATAAAAGATCTAAATATATTAAGATATAACTTTTTTGAAAGCAACTGCTTAAAATACCTACGCTAAACTGCCGTAGTTGCCACCTACTACAGATGCCCCTTTTGGACACTTCAAAAGAGTATATCTGCAATTCAAACATGGCTCGGAAGAGAAATATCACCAGAAGAATGGGGTTGGAAATATGAATGTGGAATACTGATACCTCAAATAATGAACGCAGCGACCAGCTTCAGGATCCTTATTAAAAATGATTTATTACACATGAAAAAAAGGATGCGGAGCATCTTGTGGATGCAGGAAAAGTGGATTAAATTGCACTGTAGCTTTCTTGGAATGCAATGGTGACAGCTGTACTGATCCTTCACCTACACTCCACATCAATGAAATCGATGACGACGACAGTAATGAACAATAATGTTATATTGTATATATAGTTTATAATAATTTTTTTGTTGCAACTCGTTATTTTTTGCGAAATAATAATATATTAACATTAAAGTTACTATGCAACTATTATTTATTAAGTATAAATTTAAAATCTTTGCTCTAAACATTGTTTTTCCCTTGTCCCTCTCATTTTTCAGTAAATTGTTGTTATAAATAATTGTAATCATGATCGCACAATTTTTTTTTTACTTTTTATTTGAGCTTTTAACAATGCAGTCAACAGTTTTTATGAATATTCATTGACTGGCCTTGGATTCCGAGATTTTACAATTTTTACGCCTTACGGCGCTCAACTAATGTGGAAACGAATGCCTTGTAAGTAACAGGATTCCAAGGAGACCAAGCTGTATACCGGCAAAGAAAGACAAGGAGAAGTGCAGGAAGCTGACAGGAGTTCAGGAAGTAGCAACATTGAAAACAACGAGAAGGCTGAGAAGGCAAAGAAGGCAAAGAAGGCAAAGAAGGCAGAGAAAGTAGAGAAGGCGGAGAAGGCAGATAAAGCGTGGGAATACCTGCAAAGGGATTTTCTCTTTATTGCAGATGTGTCTTGTGCAGGTCTTTTCTTCGCTGGCTTAAGGTGGAAGGTTTTAAAACACAGAGTTAAGATATATTATGTGGTATTGTCAGAGAAATTTCCATTTGCCAAATATTCATTTTAGATATAATTTATTATTTTATAAATTCTTATTAAGATACAAAAATATTCGTTATTTTGTTATCTATATTATAAAGGTCCCAATTAAACTATTAAATATTGAGGAATGACAAATATTTGAAAAATGGGTATACATTGTTGTTATGGAATAATTTCTTAAAAAAATTTGTTTTATTTATTAAAAAATCTTACCTCATTTTCTCTAATACACATGGTATGGCTGCCAACATCACACGCAAATCTGCAATATTCGTTACAGGTAATAAATGTTAGACAAGTAAAGAATAAAACTGCTATAATACAAAACGATTTCATCTTCCTACTCTCAAGTTAACATAGAGTATAAGAATAACTGAAATCAATTAACTAGTTAGCTACCTAAATTTAAATGATTAACTGCAGATATGCAGGATATTTAACAAAAAACAAATCATAGGAAATTAAATTGAAATTGCGAATGCAGTGGCGTATAATTTGCAACAAGTACAGGTATATCAGTAAGGAGGTACAAGTTTAGTGATTTAAAATATATTTTCATTTTCTATATCACATTAATGCTTACCCTCAACTCGTGTTGTCTTAATTTCCTGGCTATAAATTATTAGTTTTAAAATAACCTATGGTGGAGAGTAAGCTGGAAGACACATTAATTAAAATTAAACTTGAAAGAACAGTTTTTAAGAGAAAAAATGTTTTTTTCTACTACCGTGCGTAAAGTGAAAAAAAGTTATTTTAGAGAAAAAAAGTAACTTTAACATTTCTAATATTAGTGGATAATGTGTATGGTAGTGGATAATGTGTATGGTAGTAGAAAAAATATTGTATGCAACTCGTGTGTAAAGTCTCTTTTTTGAATCATGTGATTGTCACACTCGCCTACGGCTCGTGCGACAACATTCACATTAGTCAAAAAAGAGTAGATTAGATTAGGAGTTGGACGTTATTTGTCCTTGTCCACCGCGACCTTTTCAGATCTATTGTGGGACTCCGTTTGTTTTAGAGTATGTCATCTAGCCTGGGCACCTATCCTCGACTGGTGCTTTAATCAATGCGAATGCGCATTTACTAAATGCGAATGCGTATTTGCTCAAAAGCGTGTTGTAGCTATTCTTGGTCGTTGGAATTTATATTGCGGGTGCGCATTTGACAGCGAGTGGGTTTTTGCTCTTCGCATTCAAATGCAAAGGTCCAAAGAGCTTGCGAAGGTCTAACTGGATGCACGTTTTAATATTGCAGTGTTTTTGTTTTGTTTCATAAATTGATCGTGACCTATAGGTATGATAGCAAATATAATTTTTTTTTAAATATCTTATTACAAATTAAAAGAGGCAAATAATCATCCTCGAAGAGTTTATGATGATAGGAAAGCTCCTTTCAGACTTTCTGATTAAGCGTTTATCAGATTGTTTCGGTTAATTATATGTGTCTTTTTACTAATATTTTCCATTTTATAACGCTGCAAATTATGTATAGCCAAACAGTACATCAAAAAACAACCCAAAACCACGACTTCATGCTCAAAACCATTACTCATGTTAATATTGCTTCTATTTTGCGAATAATTTTCACAAAACAAGCGGTGTGAACTTTGAGTCCCCTTTCTAGCAGACAATTTAACATGAATAATCGTCGATAATACATGGTTGCCAAGTTGCCATTCGCATTTATAAAAGAGGATTACGAAGGCACAGATACGAATGGTTAAGAATACGGTTTCTAATGCGTCTTCGCATTGAACCACTCGCATCTCTTCAAAGCGAGCGCTTAAACGCATTAGTCGAGGATAGGTGTCCTGGTCTTTTTTATTAGACTTAGTAGCTTTGACAGTGGCTCCCTTATGTAGTTGCATGCATTTGGCTTTTCTTCGCGCAATGTTAGAAACCTCATTCCAGCCAGGCCTTCACATTGACACAGGACGTGGAATGATGTTTCCTCTTCTTCTTCTTCACCGAACCTGCACAAAGTTGCTTCTTCTGCTGGTTTTATGACACTCATGTGCCTTTTGAGGCGACAGTGTCCAGTAAGAAGGCCTACTGTAATCCTAACGATTTGACGCTTTTGATCCAGTAGAGGTCTTTCGTGAACTTGGCCGATGGTTCCTTGATGAACTGTTTGGCCTGTCTCAGTCTTGGATAGTTGTTCCACCATTCCTGAGACTCTTTTTGCATCCATTGTTTAATGGATGACTTGCCAATACCTTAGCAACTCCACAGAAGAGTTCTGGGCCTTTTCGTTGCCCTGATATCCCTCATGGCCTGGAACCCAGGCTAAGGTCACCTTATTTTGACTACTTAGCTCTGTCAGGTCTTATAGACAGTCTTTCACCAGTCGTGATTTGATTTCTGGTGAGAGAATTGCCTTTAGAGCTGCTTGGCTATCAGAGTATATGGCAATAGTTTTGCCTGATACTTGCTGATTTAGTATTTCTCTTGCACAGTGTTGTATGGCTATTAGCTCAGCCTGGAACATTGTTGCATATTTTCCTAAACTCAGCGAAATCGTTGATTTCGACTTGGGTCCATAGATTCCAGCACCGGCTCCTTCCTTGGTTTTTGAACCGTCTGTGTACCAGACGAGTTCAGCCTGTACGGGAGGTCCTTGTTTCCAGGATTCTCGGGCTTGTATTTGAATTTGAAAATTTCTTTCAAATTTGTATGTGGTTATGGCTCTATCAGGCATAGCTAGAATATTATCCCTTTTTACTTGCTGATATAGCCTTGTGTGGTCGTTGCTATGTAGTTGGCTTATTGGGTTTTGTCCCTGCATTAGCCTGTGAATAGCTGACCTGGTTTATCCTTGTATGAAGATGTGCAGTGGCGTGAGATTTAATAATACCTCCATTGCTGCAGTCGGCGTAGTGCGCATGGCCCCAGTAGCACTTAGACAGGCAAGCCGCTGAATGCTAGTGAGTTGGCCTATTGCACTTGCCTGCGCAGTTTTGGTTACCCACGCCACTGCGCCATAGGTTATCATGGGTCTTATTACCCTTGTATATAACCATATGGTCATTTTGGGGTTTAGACCCTAGTTTTTCTCACATATTCTTCTACAGCTTACAAGAGCTATTGTAGCTTTATGTGTGAGTTTTTTCAGATGTTGATTCCACGTCAGCCTTTGGTCAAATATAAACTACATTATGTATAACGTGTTACCTACTTTTTTTGAACATCATCTAATTCACTAGGTGTTAATAGTGGCATATCTCGAAAAAATTGCCATTTTTAGTTAATTGTACCATAATACTAGCAATTTTTTGTTTTAAAAATAAACAATAGTGGCACATTTTCATATCGCTCTGGTACCTCTAGATAGAGCTGGTAATGCTGGTTATCACTATTAAATTTCGCGAATTTGTCAACGCGGCCCTACAACTCAGTAGTGTGAACAACGTAAAACAATGCAATGGTGACATATTTTAAATAGTACGCTAAATTTTAGTGGAACAATAATGGCATTTTTGAAGTTATGTCACTATTGAATGTTAAAATGTTATTATGAATTCCAATATTATTGGATACACGTAAATTGTGCCAGTGTTACATATTTAACTATTGGTATTTTTTAAACGTGTCCTTATTAGGCATTCCAAACATAATGTCTACCAGTGGATTATGACAGGATATGATATGGCAACCCTGTAGGCCTGGTGATTTGACACGCAAAAGCGATACTAGCGCTAGCTGCGGATAATTCGTGTATTTTAGGGCGATATTTTGTAATTTTGGCATATCATGTATACATTTTACTTTTTTTCAAAAAAATAGGTAAAAACAATACAATAAGCAACTGGAGTTGCTGTGTTGTAAATTGTAAAAATACTAGCAAAAAAACAGTGTATATTATAAAAAATTTCAGTAGCAAAGTGGAAATTTAATCAAAGAAATAAATGGATAGCTGTACAATAAGAAAAAAAATTACCTTTATTTATGTAATAATAACAATAATACTGGAAATAGCAGTAGACATCAGAAACTTGAAAGGTTTTATATAAACAATTAATTATCATTTTACGATGTTCTTCAACATCCTGTTAATCTTAAATGTTCAGCAAAAAATATATTTCTGCCTTTAATTATTGTATGTGGCTTGGATGTAATTTTGTAACTTACTGATAGGAAACCAGTTTTAATCCTTCATTCTATGTTTTCTTTCGAACAACAATGAAAATATAAATATTAATCGTTCCGTTTATACATTTTAACTTTACGCTATTATTTAATGATATTTTTTGTATTTTGACAGAATAGGTTAATTCTTTAAAGACAACTTATTAGACTTAGGCAATTTCTCATACATTTTCCCGTAAATACTCTGGCCTGTCTATATTTTATTATTAAGGCAATTTCTCATACATTTTCCCGTAAATACTGTGGCCTGTCTATATTTTATTATTAATTTTTATTAATTATACTTAGTTTATATATATATACAAAGAAAAACCAAAAACAAAAAAATAAAAACAAGGCTGTAATTTGGTTAAAAAAAAGAAATTGTAAATACTGTATTATATTATAATAATTATAATGTAAATAAAAATAAATTTATAAAACTAGACGTGAGCGAATTATCCTTACTATATGATATAAAACTAAGATAAAATTTAATCTATGTGGTTTGGGGAATGGACTCAGTTCCCTCAGTCAAAAAGTCATATATAATGGACTTTTGACTTCCATATATACAGGGTGTTAAAAAAAAAGTGTCACAAAATGAAATGGTGAATAGTATGACCCAAAATAAGCAGAAAAGTCTTAATAAATATATGACCGCAAATTAACGGTTTCGGAGATACGGACCATTTTGTGTTTATAACAATTTTTTATTATTATAAAAAAACAATGATATTTATAAACAATCAATAACAACATAGAGTTAAATGAGATGTTCAAAGTGCCCTCCCTCCATTTCAATGCATTGCCATTTGCACGACCGTACATAAAATGCATGTCAGCTAATTCAATATTAGTGTAAACAGGCATAACGAAAATTTATAAAATTATTCACCCACAACAAAATAATAACTGCAAATAGTATCTATGAAAAAATATCGGTAGACTCCGATAAGAAAAGCAAGTTTTTGAGAATGAAAAAAGATAATCAAAAAATGATACAAAACACAAAAACGTATCTCTGAAACCAATCATTTGCGGACATATGTTTATTAAGACTTTTCTGCATATTTTGGCCCATACTACCCCCCTTTTTATTTTGTGACACTTTTTTTTTAACACCCTGTATAATAAATTAATATTTCACATGTTTTACAAATCCATATACTTTTATTAAAACTATATATACTTTTTAAATTAGGAATTTTTTTAAAAATTGTATTGTTAGTATTAGGCATTCCAACAACCTGTCAAAA